TAATACTTAACTCAAACTATACACATAATAATATTTATTATAATTTATACGTCTCCAAGGTTACTTCAAGATGTTCAAATTTCAGAGATAATTTAATAAAAGCTTCACACCTATTATCTTACATTTTTTAGAACGGATTAAGTTCTTAGTCAGTTACTTCTCACAACTACCAGACGTGGCTCGCAATTTTGATATTCTTTGATCTCATCATTAAATTGTTTGTATATTTTTTAATTAGTATTATTTACCGAATCGCTGATAAACATAAAAATATACAGTTTGAATTTTCTAAAATGATACTGGAAATAGTTGAAAAGTTTTGGAAATCGTTTATAGATGATAACAAAAGAAGTTAATACAATTTTCAACGCTTTCCTAATGACCAAACACAAAACAATTAAAATTATCAATTATCTACTTATTTAGGGTTTTTATTATTGCGTACAGTTCAAAGTTGATAATTTGCACGTAGAAATTCTTTCTTAGACTGTAAAAATAAAGTTATAAAAAAAGCACAAGTAATTTCAGATAAAACTCCCATATATGTATTAAAAATATGCCATTTTTTGAAAGGATAAATTAATCTTCTGCATATCTTAATAATTCTGATCGGTCAGAATTACCCTTACCTTTTATATATTTCCCCTTCACGCCTTAATGGAATTTCACCATGTGTACCATTATCTGAACATGGTTTGAATCAAAGTTTAAATATTGAAAAAAAAACCCACTATTAATGGAATTTCCCAACATTGTGTCTTTGTAACCTAAAATGAAAGAATAAATACATAATAGACTTGTTATATTTCATATATGTCTAATTTGAAATTAAATTTAACTTTTTAGCTAATGACATAATATTGTAAATTCACGATAAGACAAAAACATGACCAGAAATCAACACAATGGTTTATTAGCTCTAGAAGTTAGTATTTGTCACAAAATATGTTGATTAGATCTTGTACAACAAAGTATAATTTTATTCTAATCTTTCATCTGTGGTTAACATCGCTAACCTCAAATGTTTAAATAGTGTTTCTTGGCGCCAAATAATATATTAATATCTAGTTTGTAGTCTCTTCTACTTAATTTTGGCATTAATTAGAATTAGAACAAATGGATTTGGAAGGATCTCGTAGAAAAAGAAATCAAAAAGTGTTGGTAGATAACCGTTTACACGAAATATATCAACATGATTTACAAATGTTCATTAATCCTCCTGATTTTGAAATTACATTGGAGGAGTTTGAAGAACTAGCTTTGCAACGTCTTCAAGTATTGAGAATAATTGAACAAGCATCTCAGAAGGGATACAAGTTACTCACTGATGATTGGATAAATTGTGTAGCAGCAGATCTAAGAAAAGAAAACTTGAATAATTACCATCGTCTGATCATGTATTGTGGCAGTGCTCAGTCGGAAGCTAGTTTCGCTGCACGCAGAGAAGACCACATTTCCCATTATATTTTACGTCTGGCCTATTGTCGTTCAGAAGAATTAAGAAAATGGTTTTTAGCACGTGAGTTGGATTTGTTTAAATTCAAATTTAAAATGATGACAAAGAGAGAAGAGTTGGAGAAGTTTCTTAGCATAAACAAACTTGATTATTCGCCAATATCTCAACAAGAAAAAGCAAACTTAAGAGACAGTTTGCTTTGTTCAACTACAAATGTATACAATTTTGAAGGGACTGATTTTTATAAAGTACGGTTTACTGAAGTTCCATTTCTGATCAAGAACAGAAAAGTATTTTTAAAAGGTGGTTTTGCTTTTATACCCAAGAAAGAGTTAATGAATTGTGTTGCTAATATTTTTAGAACAATGCTTAGTCATGCTCTAGCAGTGAGTATTTTTATTTTATATCTTATTACTTCATAAAATACCATACTTGATAATAATAATATTTTTTATTCTAGTATGCAAATAGCAAAATTCCCACTTTAGATGATGAACGTGTAAGTCAATTGCTATCAAGTTTACACACTACATACACAGGCAAAGATTACTTGCCTGGTCAAGACACCAATTCAATTGACCCATCATTTATGGACACATATGCTAAAAACCATTTTCCTTTGTGTATGCGAAATATTCATGAAAATTTCCGTGCTACACATAAACTAAAGCATGGTTGCCGATTACAGTATGGGTTCTTCTGTAAAGCCATTGGCTTATCCTATGAGGATTGTGTGAAGTTTTGGAAAGATGAGTTTACAAAAATAATGGATAGTAATCAATTTGAAAAACAGTATAGCTATGCAATAAAGCATAATTATGGAAAAATAGGCCGCATGGTCAATTATTCTCCTTATAGTTGTATGAAAATAATTACAGACACAGTTGGGGCTGGAGAGCATCATGGTTGTCCTTTTAAATTATGGGATAACGGGTACTTGAAGCAGAAATTAAGTGAATATGGACTTAGTAGCCAAGGTAAAATTATTTATTATAAATAATTTTCAGATCAGTTGTTCTACATTCCAACATTTAATGGACCTATTTATTTTAGGGGCTCAAGAGGTAGCTAACTATGCAATGGAGAGTCACTATCAGGTAGCTTGTAGTAAATATTTTGAATATATGCATGAAAGACCCAGTAAAACATAATTAATCATCCCAATCAATACTTTGAAGAGAGTTTCAACAAGAAAAATAATAAAAACCAAACACCTACAAGGTAGTTGACATATTCTTCTAGATATAATTAAGGATTTAATTTGAAGTGTAAATAGTTTTATTATATGAAATAATAATGTTTTAATATTTTAGCACAAATATGTAAAGAGANTTTATTTTAGGGGCTCAAGAGGTAGCTAACTATGCAATGGAGAGTCACTATCAGGTAGCTTGTAGTAAATATTTTGAATATATGCATGAAAGACCCAGTAAAACATAATTAATCATCCCAATCAATACTTTGAAGAGAGTTTCAACAAGAAAAATAATAAAAACCAAACACCTACAAGGTAGTTGACATATTCTTCTAGATATAATTAAGGATTTAATTTGAAGTGTAAATAGTTTTATTATATGAAATAATAATGTTTTAATATATTAGCACAAATATGTAAAGAGAATTATCGTTATGTTAGAATGATTTGTTTGTTGATTAAATTCATTAAAGTTTTTTGATATTTTTATGTTTTTAATTGTCTTATTAAAATTTAATTCATAAAAAGAGTTCCGATGGAAAATGCTATGTGAAAAAATATAAAGTAAAATGTATTGGTGAATTAATTTTAATTTTTACTAATACATTGAATTAAAACTACAAAAATTCAAGGTATCTCATAAAGTAAAATGTGAAGTCTACAGACTTGCTTGTAGATAGTAGGTCCATATTATATGTTCCACGTCAGTATGTTCAACAATAAACGACAAGCTTAACACTTAAAGGATTTCTTTTTTCTGATATTGTACTGTGACTTTTTGGACTTTGCATGGATAATATCGAAACTAAACTGATTAGATTGGATTGTTTTTCTTATTTTGGTCATATCTCGTTAAAAGTGAGCAAGACTGAGGAATATTAACAATAGTTTTGTTAGCTTTAAGACTAATAAAGCGTTAGGTGGATATATAAACAATAATAAATGTAAGACTCCGAAACATTAATGTATAGGGGTTGATTTATTAAAATGCAAATATTGTTCTAAAGTTCTAGGACAGACAGGTAAACAGTTCGAAATACGCATAAAAGAGCATTTTAAAAGCTTTACTAATAAAAAAGTAGATTCTACCTACACACAACAATTGATAGAGAATAATCATGACTTCACTACCAAATTTTATATAAACAAAAGGTTTTAAATTGAATTTAGAACTTGAACTAGGAATAAACAGATATTATAAAAAAGGAATAACCTAAAACGACCAACTAGAAGGCAACAATTCTCCTTTACTCAATATTAATTGCAACAAACTGTAAGAACTAACTAACTAACTAACTCCTCCATCTATCTAATTAATATAAATAGTCTTGGATCAATTGAGTTTGAAGATTCATCACCTGATGATGCCACTGTGCGGTAAAACAATATTGTTGTGAATCAATATAATTTTCTTGAAACTTTGTGTGTTTTATTTTTAGTAAAAACCATTTTAAATTCCAAATTTTATTTGATCTTTTTTTATTATCAGTTATAGCTGCGCATTTGTAGCCCTATTTAGGATATGGTAAAACATTCTAATTTATATCTATCTGTTTTGTTAAATTTTATTTTTTTTTCCATCATAAAAGTTTTTGTTAAAATTAATATTCATCAAAAAAAGGTAGGCTGAATTGATTACAATTAATTGACTAATGATTTAAGTAAGTAATTTTACTAATCATTTTATTTACCTGTTACCTGTTCAAAATTGTTAGTTAAGTTTTTGCTATTTATACTAGAATAGGTTTTCTTAAGTAATTAAATACTTAATTAGAATAAAGTGATGTATTTACTCGATATTTTTAATGGCATTAGTGCTTATTTTTCTAAAAATATCGGTTTTAAAGTAAAAGTTTAACTTACATAATTTTAAGTTTTGACATACCGATGTACACTCCACTATGCATCGCGGATGACTAACTAACTGAGCGAAGTGCTATTGTTATTATACGACAATAACGCGACAACCAATAGGAAATTAGGTCAAGTTGCACCTGTTTGGATTAGGGAAGCCCTTTGGAATGCGGCGACGGCGATGATTTGTGAGAGTTCATTCACCTTTATGGGCTACTTTTAATATCGAAACTTTAAAAAAAAAACATGATTTAGACATTTTTGCAGCGATTTTGATGCGGTTTTTATAAAAGGACTAGAAACATAATATAGTTTATTATAATTATCGAAATGTTCTTGCAATCGACGAAGTTAAAATTATATTCGAATGTATCTCCCTTAGGGAGTAAGCTTCGAAAATAATAGTAAACTCAGAATTCTTTTCAGAATATGTGACAACCGGGACTTCGTCAACTTTAAACAAATTAAGATCAGCAAACTGAAAAAAAAACTACAGTTTATTTTTATATTTCCTTTTGATTTCAAAATAAAATTTGTAGAATTGATAGATCCCTGAAACAATAATAATTTTTGCGAGCGAAGCCAAATATGGATAAATAAGAAGGGAAATACTAACAAAGAAAAATCACTAGAATTTACTGTACTGCAACCAAATCCAAGCGCTTCAATTCACCCCAAAATTATATAAACTTGATGAGGACATCAATCCTAACGGGGGAGGTGTTATATCAACCTTGGTGCTCTAAAGTACTGATAAATAAAGTGTTTTTAAAAAAGCTCTTGTGGTGAAATCTTCGTAATAATTTACATACGGTTTTCATCTATTAATAATGAATTTTAAAACAGAACTGGATATTGTTAAGTATAACATAGCTAGACGAATTTTATCAATTAAGTAGGCCATTATAAATGTGTAAGTGACAAAAATATGCCTTTCTAACAATTAAGCAAAAATGCTATTAATGACTAAGGCACTTTCTCATGGCTTTGGAATATAAGGAAAAAAGGCACTTTTTCCAAAAAGGAATAATAAAAAGATATTTTTAGTTAGTTGATTTAGTTTTCTTGTACCGTTTGTGGAATAGTCTCTTAAGTTAACTGTTTTTTTTTGCATTCTAATTAAGGGATAATATACTGTGGTATAATTATTATTGGAATGGCTCAAACCCCGTCAACATAAAATCGCGGGATTTTTTTTTTATGTTTTCGTGGAAGAGGGGAAATCTTCAGAAGACACCCAGCCGTCCGTACGACTGGGTAGTGTCGGATTCCCGAGGGAGAAGTCCTCGGACCTACCGACTAAAACTCCTCTACCTCAGGCTTTTTAGGACCAACTAGGGTCCTCTTCAGCCGAAAACATCGCGGGAGAATTCACTACATGAATTGGTGAAATTCGTTGGTTCTTTGTGCATTTTAATATTAAGTTTGCGGAAACACTCTGTTCCCGGAGTAATCCTATCAAGGAAGAAAGATCTGCGACGGACATAAGTTTATTTGCGAACCATAAACGAAGTTCCGTCGTAACAATGTGTAAAAGAATCTTGGGTTTTCTTGCAAACTATAAACAAGGGAACTTTATGTGTACAGTTGACATTAGCAAGCGAACATAGAATAGAATAAAATATGAGAAAAGGGATGATTTTAAAGTACACTAGGTTACAAATTAATGACACAAAAAAAGATGGAAAACGAAATGAATACAAGTTACAGGAAATATGATATAAGTTAAGGTATAAGGGGTATTTGAGGAAGTTATTGAAAAGTGCACGTTTGATATTAAATAATTAAGTTTGGTAGGTACTAAATAACATGGACCAGTGATAAAATGTTAGGGGTGTCTAACATAGTTTTCAAAAAAGTAAACCTCACTTTACGATCCAAAATGTTCCAGTCGATGTACTTGAGTACTCAGCTATCAGCTCAAATTTTGATTGAACATGAGTTAACAACTTCTGAAACTTTGACAAAAAGAATTAGACTTTCACTGACGGTGTTGTCTGAATTATACTTGATATTTCAATTCCAAATGCGAAAATATCAGGGGATGAAAAGTTGTTTAATCTTAGAAAACCAACAACCGACGTTTTGACCTAAATTACAGAAGTTTACCAAGGTGATTGTTTTTGATCAATATAAAAATACGTTACGTTACGTCGCGACTCTGAAGATGGTTTGAATTCTTCGGGTAGTCGGTGTAATTGTCGTTGTTTTTAACTCAGTAACGAATAACTAGGCGTTCACTTAATTATTCGCAAAAAAACATCCACTTAAACATCAGAACGTTCTCTTTAAATGTAAAGTACAGAAATTTCTGGAATAGTAGAACGACTGCAATTCTGAATTATAAGCGAACTTAATTGTTGCTAACAATACGAAGATAATTAGCAAAGTTTAAAATCCTTTCTAATACCTCTACATTTCTAACTTCTTTATCCACGGTATCCTTATCATTCTCCTGTAACACCACATATCAAACGCTTTTAAGCTTTTCTTTTCCACTTCGCCAACCGTCCAAGTTTCGCGTCCATCCAGCGCCGCGTTCCAAACATACACCTTTAACAACTTTCTTTGAATTTCTAAATTAATCGTTTGCGATCATAAAAGTAACTCCTTTTTTTTGAAAGCGACTCGACCCTGCGCTATCTTCTGCTTTATATCCCTACTACTCCTTCCGTCCTGACTTATCTGACTTCCTAGATACCTAAAATCAGCCACTTCTTCTAATCTGTCGTCTCCTATCTTTACATTCTCTCTTTCCCTACTTTTTCTTCCCTTGCATACCAATATTTTTGTTTTAATTTTATTTATTTTCATGCAGTACTGTTTTGTCAATACAGCTTCCATTTTATTTAATGCTATCTCTAACTCCTCCTTGCTAGATGCTAATACTATTATCTATATCATCTGAATATCTAAGCATACTAATCTTTTGCCCCTGTATATCTGTTCCTGCAGTTGTACTGTCTTTAATGATGTTGATCGCGTCTTTGATGTATAGATTAAAAGGTAGCGGTAACAGTGTGCATCCCTGTCTGACTTTTTTTTTATGTTTTCGTGGAAGAGGGGAAATCTTCAAAAGACACCCAGCCGTCCGTACGATTGGGTAGTGTCGAATTCTCGAGGAAGAAGTCCTAGGACCTACCGACAAAACCCCTCTACCTCAGGCCGTTCTAGGA